ATAGGTTTATCCCGAATAGGAGCCTGATGGATCTCGATCAAGCTCATGGCGTGTTGACGAACAGGTCGAAACAAGGGCCCCCAAGAAACAATTCCCATGTGCGTTTCTGTTTTTTTCCCTGTTTTTTTTTTTATTATTATTTTTTCTTGTTTTTCATTTTTGAAACAGTGTCCGCAATTGATGGTTGTGGTTTCTGGATTGAATTTGTGGCGTTTGATGTTGTTTGAAGTTGTTTCTATGAGTTGCAGCTCGAAATTTTTACTTAATTTTGTGGCAGTTCTTTCTTCTCATTTGATCTTGGCAGAAGAACTTGTTCCCATTGTTTCGATTATATTCAGAAATTAGTACATTCGATTAAACTTTCTACAAACCATGAACACTCTGTGGTGAAAATAAGAATTTATGTACATGTATTAACACATTCACAATTTTCTTTTCTTTCTTTTGTTTCTCCTTTCTGGAATGTGGTGAAAAATAGTTAAAGATGTGCAAGGTTCGTAATATTGTTGGACAGTTGAGCAATTACATTTGGCTGTTCATATTCTTGTGTGTTACAGACTGAATATCGCCGAAAACTGGAAAATCTCACTCTCGACCCTGAAGGAAGGCAGTTCCAAATGCTTGTTTTCAGAGGTAGCCCTAAATCAAGCCGAAGGCCGACCCACCTAATAGACGAGATGAGACGTAGTGATGAGGAGAACCCTATCCGTAAGCCCTTACGAGGGTTTCCTAAAGTAATATGTACTTTTAAAGTAACCTTTTCTTTCATTTTTGAATATTCACTTGTCTGTTGCCTTAACTGGAGACATTCTTTCTTTTTTATGCAGAGAGAGTCCCGTATCCTGGATGCACCCAACTTGAAAAGGGATTTCTATCTCGAAACTATTGATTGGGGGAAATCAAATGTTTTAGCTGTTGCTCTAGGGGCAGAAGTGTACTTGTGGAATGAGGATGGTCGTGGGATAGAGGTGTTGTCTGAAGTGGATGGGACCGACTATCCAGCCAGCGTGTCATGGTACGAGGAAGCAAGTGTTGTGGCAGTAGGATATAATTGCAACAGACTGCATCTCTATGATGCCGAGTCTCTCAAGCTTGTAAGTCATCTAGTTACTAAAACTACCTGCCGGCCGAGTTCCGGAAGGTAAATACCCTCTTGAAGTTTGCTTCTGTACTCCAAAGTGCACTATTTGAGTGGGATGCTTGTTAAGTAAACAATTTTAAAGGGGTGTCCATTAATTTTGGGATAAAGTTGGGTTGTTGTTGTAATTAAGCAAAATTTTAGGGCTAGTTTTCCTAATTTAACCCCATATCTTGATATTTTATATTTGTTCGATGAATTGTTTGCTTAAGTTAATGCATATTTGATTGGTTTTTTCATTTCATATACACTTTTGTAGACATTTGGTCATTTTGAGATAAAACCAAACTTCGGTGAAGGTTTCTAATGCAATGTGTTTTGCAATATACGCAGGGGAGATCCCTTGACTGTCACAAGGGAAGAGTGGGCTCTCTTGCATGGAACGGTTACCTATTAACGACAGGAAGCAAGGATAGGGCCATCATCAGTCATGATGGTAATCAAGTTTGACATTATAATCTTGCTGTTCTTTTCAGTGACATAATCTTGAATGGGAAAATTTTGATGCCTACTGATGAGCCCTTTATATTTCTTCGGGTCATTTTACAGTGAGAGCTCGTAATAGTGTGGTGTGTTATGTTAAGGCGCACAAGATGGAGGTTTGTGGCTTGAAATGGTCGAACACAGGCAAGATATTAGCAAGTGGTGGAAATGACAATGTAGTTTACTTATGGGACGTGCGCAAAATGGGCGCAAGACAACATTTGTACAGATTTAACGATCACAGTGGAGCTGTAAAGGCCCTTGCTTGGTGTCCTTACGATGATAACATGCTCGCCTCTGGAGGTGGCACTTCTGATGGCTCTATCAAGATGTGGAACACACAAAAGGGGACCTGCATTAGTAGCACTAAAACTAATGCACAGGCAAGTTTTGGTGATTATGCAAATTGTGGAAGTGCTTTTTAGATATCCCTGGTGTTCTAATATGAAAAGAAAACACAGTTTTGTTTTGCATTTACACATACCCGCTTAAGTTTCGTTTCTGTTTTAAAGTGTTCATCCTCAGTTGAGGGACTTTTTAGATAATTTAAGGCCTTAAGGGGGCTTTATATGACAATACAAACTTTGAAACTTAACCTGGAGCTTCTTGTAATAGACTAAAGTTAAAAGGATTGCATTGGTTGTTATTCCAGATTCTTTAGCTATATAATAGATTTCCTGTAGTTGGAATACAGTGCAGCAAACAATATGTGTACTTGATTTGATTGTTACTCCATTTTTATATTTGGCATTTAAAATGTCTACGTGTACATTTCGATTTAACAGTGTCTAATTTGATTGTAATTGTCATAAATCAAGTATCTGTTTGTTATTATGAACAGGTATGTGGCCTGGAATGGAATATACATCACAAAGAGATATTAAGTGGGCATGGCTATGGCTTTGAGCCGGGAAATAACCGGTTATGTTTGTGGAGGTACCCTTCAATGTCTAAAATTGGAGAATCAGGTGTCCATACATCTCGAATTCTCCACCTATCACAGGTTCGATTCAGTGTTTCAGTTAATTACAAAAGTTACCCCTGAGGTTTTGCCTAATTACAAAAGACAAGTAGCCATCTATTGACATTGCACACTACGTCGACATTTTCTTGTCTTATAAAAAAAAAAAGCAATGTTTTATTCTGATTTGACAGACTTTAATAATCAGACTAATCATCAAAGGTGTCTTATGTAACCATCTTTTCTTAAATGTTGTGTGCTTTAACTCTGCAAAACGAATTATATAGCTTTTTGCACTTTGCAGCATTTGGATTGTTTAATCTTCTAATCTCTGTATTGTTCGTTCTTTGTTGATAGAGCCCTGATGGTTTAACTGTGGCATCAGCTGTAGCAGATGAGACTCTTCGTCTCTGGGAGGTTTTTGGGCCTAAATCCAATAATGAGAAGATTACGTATCTGGAAGGCCTTTTGTCATTCAAGACCACACCACTTAGGTGATTGATAATAAATCATTAGCAGCTAGTTAGGCGTTTAACCTTGCTGGATTTACCTATCAGCGAGTCATTCTTTTCAGATTTTCTGTTGAATAGTCAGTAGTATTCTTTGAGATTCTCCCGTCCGAAATGAATGTATGAACTAATCCTCCGTTAATAATGTGAGTTCAGTAAGTTTGAAGCAAATTGGTATAGTTTTTCAGGACCTCAATTTAACTAATTTCTATGAGTTTTAAGCAAGTTGGTACAATTTTTCAGGACTTCAATTTAACGTTGTAAAGTTGTGCTGTGACCGTTCCCTTTTACTGTAATTTCGTGTCACAGTCAAGTCTCGATAATTTGCTGTGTGTAGACTTGGAGTATGGTAATATGGCATACAGTATACAGGTGCTTTTGTGCAAGAACTGAATTGAAAGTGAAATTTTTTTATTGAAGTGGTACATAAGTTTGTTAAGGCAAGTACAAAACTACAGTTTATTATTCGTTCAAAAAAACATTTCAGAACAGGAGTCAGACAAATTGATTCGTACAAGCACCAATCCGAGTTGGTCGTAAAAATTTATTCAAAGAAATCCTTTGAGATCAGGACCTCGACACATTTGTTCCAGAACAAGCCGAAAATCAGCTTCTTCATCAAACAGGTACAGAAAGGATCCAACTCAAATAGACAAACAAACAAACAAAAAAAAAAAACCCCCAAACAAGAAAAAACACTAGATATGTTGCAAGACTTAAATCAACCCTGTGTATAGTCCCTTAAGCAGTAAGAGCAGCATTGAGAGCACTGTGTACATCGACCCCAATTTGAGCTTCAGCTTTCTCAACTTCAGTTGTAGCAGAGCTTAGCTTCTGCTGGTACAAAGCAAGGCCCGTTTGAACCAAATTCGGGTCAATGCGGTCAATCGGGGTGGCCTCAACAACAGCAATATCGGCAATAGAGTTTGCATGGATGATGGTAAAGCCACCGCTCACAAAGTACTTGGTCACATCATTACCTTCATGAACAGATAGAATCCCCGGTTTTAGCTCAGCAATTGTTGGTACATGACCAGGCAAAACACCCATTTGTCCCGTAGTTGCTGGTACAATGACCATATCAACCTGAAAAGACACATAACTAACAAGTGGGTTAAGCAAAAGTACATGTTATTGGATCCTTGAAAAAAGTCAAAAAAAAAAAAACATTATCTTTTTTTATAATATATTGGAGAAAGAAAATGAGATATATCTTCCATAAACTGAACTTGCCAGCACAAGAGCCAAAACAGAAATTAGTATGTAAACATAAGTCGGACGTGTCTGAATAATTTACAACAGTTCCACAGTCCTAGATAGAATTTTCTCTGTCCATTGTTGTTTTCTTATTAACAAGGTATGTTCTTACGTCTCTGATTGAGAAATGAAATCAACCATTAATAAGCTTGTGGTGCTTCCAAAGTTCTAAAATTTATAGTGTAATGCCAGCTGGGAATAACACGGGACTAGGACTAGATAATAATTCTGACTAGTCAAATGTGGCAGCAATTAATAGTTACTTCAAAATTACTCTTCAGGTAAGCCATGGAAAGATAACCAAGAGTTGATCACAACCAAGTGAAGTTAGTAAAGAATTCTACTGTTTCTGCAATTTACGCACCCAACTCATACACATTTTAGATGCACTCATATACACTTTGGCAGATTATAACCTCTGGAACTGTAGTCTCTTTGTTCACTGAGAAATCAAGTAATAATTGCGACCCCATAAGGCCTAAACTCAGGTTCTCCATTAAAATCATCTAAACTCCAATAGGGTAAATAAAATGAAATCCACAACTTCAAGATGATATATATTACATAAAAATTTGGGAAACATAACAAGTACAGAAACAAGAGTCCCTGATTTGCTTCTTGACAGAACTCCAAACAAGAGTTTTTCAGGGTGGGTAGGTATTACGCACTCAAACAACAATGCAACAGCAACAGAAATCCTAAATAATGTAATTTATATACAATTTGAATTTCAGCTTTGAAATGCGTACTAATCAGCAATGGCAATATTTGCACCCTTCGATGGTTCTAGCTTTTGAGCTTCTCCAAAAGTAACTGCACGAAATTCAAGGCTACTAATTACTGTATTCTTTCCTCCCAATCAGACCTCACCTACGAAGTCTATCTCACGATCAACTTAGCATAAATCAGATGCAAACCAATCCTAGTATAACTCAAGGGCTTGTGTGACATAGCAAAAGCAAAGCCCCACATTTGACGGTTGTTAACAGTTGCAACCGGAAGCTAATATGTAACACATTGGAATGAATCTTAAAATAATTATTCTTTCAACCATGTTAATCTCACGCACATTTTGGAAATTACCTCATCACCATTCATAAACCACAACATTAAAGATACATAAAACGAAGGACAGCATTAACAAATCCAGAACAATCTTCAAACAAACAAGCTCTGAAACCACAATTAACACAATCATAACAATCTTCAAGCCGACAAGCTCATAGACCACCACATAAAACAAGCTAAAGATTGATCAGACCATGAGCACCAGTTCCAGACCAGTCCCTGAGACGATAACATATTCACTTCACAGCTGAACTGGTAAAAATAATCCATCTCTCTAGAAAATAAAAAGGAAGAAATGAAAAGAAATGAGATCTCAAGAATTGCGAGTGTCAGAGAGCGAACCTCTTTGCTGGACAACACGGAATTGTACGGAAGAACGAAATTGATGGTCAGCTTCGAGGGGATGGTGGACGGTGTTGGCGGGCGAGGAGCCATGTAGGCTGAGGGGGTTTTCGGCGGATCCATATTCGGCATCACTTTCTTCCAGGCGTCGATAAACTTAGAGTCCCCGGCGGTCTCCGCCGGTAGATCGGTGGAAAAAGGGCGGCTCCACCTCATCGAGGTGGCGGAAGCTCGGCTGAGAAGGAAACGTGAACCCTGTCGCAACATTGTGAGCTGGCTGAGCGTGCGTGTCTCTGAGAGAGAGAGAGAGAGAGAGAGAGATGAGAATTTGGGGGAAATGGAGAGTGTATCAGCGAAATGGTGATAGTGGAAGACATGTTAATGGGATTAATTGGTTGAAGGAAACCATACACGATGTATGGATTGGGCCTCATTTTGTCAAGATATTGAAGCTAATCTCACACTGTTTTATGGGCCTATCGTTAGAATAGAAAAGACGCATAATAAAGAATTTAGTTGAATCTTGGGGTTAATATATTAGTTATAATAAAATAAAATAAACAATACAAAAATACGAAAATAAATACAAACACGATAGCACCATTTATCACCCCTTATTACCTAGATTTATTACTTCCTAATTGGATATATAAATACATATGATTTTTTGTTGTTGCATAGTGTTTGCTTTGCCACATTTTTTTTTATTATTTTGTACATAAATCATTTACTTATAAATTATAATTGAGAGTATATTCCTTTTTAACGTAATTTTACGAATATTTTTATATTCTACTTGATGTTTAATAATTTTTTATCATGTATACTTATTAAAATAGTATGATTATCTAACTATAAATCAGCCTAACTAAACCGAACTTAAAGTCACTCCCCTTGTTTTTGCACCTCTTTAAAAACATTACACCAACTAATATTAGGCAGATACTAAGTTAAACAGTTATATTTTTTCAATAAATATTAATATTTTATTAAATTTTAATGTCACAATTTAAAATATAATATAAATATAATGTTTTGTTAAAGAGTTCAAGAATTTGTGTTCAGAGTCAAACATGGATGAATAGCATTCATAACGGTAATTCCCACGATGCATTGAGAGTTGGACGTGTCGAGAGGGTGCATTTGGTCGTCGACTTGATAATAATTATGTGTGGACATATGCTGCTAGTAAAATCATGCTTCTTTCTTTAGCATATTTATTAATAATTCATTTAATATTATCACTAATTATTTTTATAGTTTGTTCAATTTGAAGGAAATCTAAAAAAAAAAAAGGAAAAAAAAAACATTAATATGAAAAGAGGACGGTTAACGAAAGGAGGCGTCTTTTGGTACGTGGAGTTGCATACATTTCTTCCCGCCAAACGCCTATATTATCATCACATCCACCCATCCATCAATGGCCCCACCACCACCACCACATTCTTTTCCCTCCAAAATTTCAGCCGGCGCCGCCATGAACTCCGGCAAGAGAAAGATGACGGACGTTGTCGGCGGGGCTGCCGACCAAACGCCGGCAAATAACCAACTCCATTTCTTTAGCAGTCTCCCGAGCGGCCTCCACTTTGCACCTCCGAGCGGCCCTCCGGCCGACGGCGGCCGCCAGTCGCAGGTGCAGCAGATACTCAACGCCGCCGCCGCTCGGCCACGCAAACCATTCTCCTTTACATCCCTGCTGATGGCCGACGATGATGATGACGTGGACCCCCTCGCAGCGGATATCAGAAGCCAGAGGGAACAAGTCAATCAAATCATCTCGCTCCACGTATCATTTTTTTTTCCTACTACTTTAATTATGTTCAATTTAATTACAAATGGCACCATGGAATTCTGGTTATTTAAAAAAAGGAACCCCAAGTTTATCTCAAATTACTAGTGTTCCTCTGCCATCTGTTTCAAGGGATTTTCCTTATTTTCTGATTTTTCCTTTACCTTTGCAACTTTTCCCTTTTTATTTTTCTAATTTATTTATTTATTTTTATTATATTTCCCTGCAGACGGATATTCTCAAGCAGGCCCTCGGAGGCCAGCTGGAGAAAAACAACTGGGCCATCAAGCGGGCCGCGGACCAGCGGGCCCAACAAAAGCTCAAACAGAAAGAAACCGAGCTGCAAATACGGTCCGCCCAGAACACAGAGCTAGCCAAGGAGGCCGAGCACTACAGAAAGGAAGCCGAGGGGTTGCAGGACAAGGTGGACCGCCTGAAGCAGGCTGCCGAGTCTCTCAAGACGTGGCTCGACAAGGACCACTGGGCCCACCAGTATGGGGAAACGGACTCGTCCTCGTCAAACGAGGAGCCCAACAATGTGGCCCGGCCCATCCGACTCGACTGCAGGGCCTGCAGCCGACAGCTGGCCACGGTGATGATGTGGCCGTGCCGCCACGTGTGCATCTGCTCGAGCTGCGAGGGAGCCTTTCGGACGTGCCCTGTTTGCCGGACGCTGAAGAAGATGAGCATTGAGGTCATTTTTCCTCTAGACTGACGGGCCACGGGTTCTATTATTAAATAATTATACTGTTCTTTTTCTCTCTGTTTTGGGTTTGTTCCTTTTTTTTTTTTCGGGGTTAGTTGTAAGCATTGAATGCTTCATATGTGAACTTTGAATTTACTGAAGTAAGACTCTACATTAATTATACACGGCGGCATTATGTACGTTGTAGCAAAAAAGAATAAACACAAAATTTACCAGAATTTTTATGCCCCAAACTCTTTTTGATTGCTAAACGAGTGTCGGTGAATGAATTGTAAAAGTGAATTATTCTGTTTTGTCGCGAGTGAGAAACGGAAATTGAGATGATCCCCTGAAAAACGTTCTATATTTTAACAACCTAAATGCAATTATGGGGTACGTTTTGAAAGGTGTTTGTTTGCGGAACAGAGGAAGAAGTTGTGCAACAAGTGGTGCAAAGTCACTCTGGACGAAAACAATGTGGTTTTAATCTCCTCTTTCACTCCAATAATGGAAGATCTAAAATAGTTTAAATTTGAAGATGCTCTCAATTTGTAAAAAGATCGAATCGTTTTTATTTGAATTCGGTATTCGTGAATTTTGAATTAGAATTCAAATAAGAAAGAATGCTACTTTGTATTCGAAATTTGTACGAATTTGAATCTAAATGTGTGCATATTTAAGTTTAAAATTAACAAATATTGGATTCGCTGATAGTAAATCGATTACGAACGTGAATATTCAAATATTTTCATGAATTTGAAAAAGAACGGTTGAGATTTGTTTCCATTCGGTCAATTACAACCCTATGCAACAAGACCATGGTGCATGTTTGATTTTGATTTCGGTTTTCATGGTGTTGTGATAGGTCATAGGAGTATGATTCGCATCGACCAAATCAGACAATCGGGCTCCAACATCAACAGGTCGTGCGTATCGCGGGAGTAGTTAATATTGGTTATGTTAATTAAGTATAAGTATTTGGATAGGATTATATATAAGACCTTTGTTTGCATATTTGAAGAATCAAGTTGAAAGTAATAAAACATAAGAAAAAAGCTCGTTTTCGAGTACTTTCTTCGAGATAAACTAAGGCTGTTAGTGCGGATTTTTCACATTTTATCATGTTCGAACCAAGGTTGTTAGCACAGGTTCTTACATAAAACCGAGTCTTGATACACAAACTCCATCATTGGCGTTTTAGTTGAGAGTGATTGATCGTGTATTTTCTTCATTTTTCTAGTGTTTGTTTATCAAAAATAAATCTTTGATTTATTCATTATGTGCATAAACTAACTGCAATTATTTTAAATGGTTTATGAGTTTTTGGATAAGTTGAAATGAACATGTTGTGTTATTGCACTGGAGATGATCAATAATGTTTAATTTCATATGATGAAATTAAACCTAATGAAAGGGTCACTATAAATAATCAACATATTTATGGATAATCCGAACCTAATTATGTATGGTTTGGAAGTAAATTAAAATCTACCCAAGCCTAACAACAAAATATGTAATTTTGGCACATAGGATCTCGAAGCATGCGAGTCTGCCACTTAAGCTCAACACGTTCTGAATTAATATATAGGGGATGTAAACCATGACAATAGTCAATAGATAAACAGGAACTTGGCTATCAAAATCAACCTAAAAGTGCAATAAAAAAATTGTAGGGAATTGGAAAGAAAATATAGGGTACAATAATTCCGGATATTTTTAAAAACTTATATTTGAAGTTTTAAGAATTCTAATATTATTGAATTGAATATATATATATATAAAAAAAAATAAAAGCATCAATTCGAAATTTTAAAGATTTCTAATAAATTAGAAGATGTTGAGGATTAACAGATTTAATTGGAAGTTCTAAAACTTGAGAGTTTAAACACAAATTAATTAAATTCTACCACCAAATTGCTTCTCTTGTAAAACAAATGAATACAACAACATAAGCAAATCTATAGTAATATAAAGAGGTTGTTTTTTTTTTTTTCAAAACGATAAATAATATTATAAATCAAAATGCACAAATGTACGAAAATACAGCAGCCAACGGCTGAATACAGAGCAGCCAACAACTGAAAAAGTGGGAGGACAGGTTAGAAAATCGCCTAGAGGCCCGCTAGCAACGCTAGAATAAAACACTCGCAACTAAACTAACCAACAATACAAACCACTAAAACAACTAAAAAAACCCCAACGGTGTAATACCCGGGTGTCGGATCCCAATATGATAATAAGGTTGACACTCGGGCTCACAGGGGCCAACGACCCGAACCAAAAACACAAGACATGACAACATAATAAAAATAACATAAACACAGAACAAATTAACTACATCTAATAAAAACAAGCCTCCCCCGGCAAAACACCCGAACTGAACAAGAGGACAATAGACGACTCCTCGAAGAGATTAGAGACACGAGAACCACGCCCGCCACTGCTACCGAACGCCTAGCAAAGACGAAGACTCACACCTCAAGTCAATCCAAGAACCGACCCGCTCTACCGCCAAAAGATGTCGACTCTTCCAACACCAACCATCGTCCCGAAAAAAGGCTAACACCACTAGCCTAGTTCCGGTAACATCGGTCCTCCCCCGGACTCAGCACCAGAGAACAGGAGAGAAGGGACCACAAATCGACATCAACGCCCCGGTCATCCCACCACAGTCATCACCACCGAGCATCCCTCCCAGCCTCCGAAAACGAAACCCAACCCATCAACTTCCACCACAGAGAGCCCGCGAGCAGGGAACCCAAACCGACAAAGAAGAGAGGAAACACCCGATAAATGACCAAGCAAGAAACCTGGGCCGCATCCATCCACTGTCGCCGCACTCCACCAAGCCTCGCCACCCAAGGTCTCCGGTGACCTACAAGCGCAACTCGAAGAAATCCGCCGTAAGCCACCATCCTCAATCCTAGGCGCGTGGGACAAGGGGAAAAACACAGCGAACATTAGCGTGGGCGCGCGCCGGAGAGCTGTCCACCGGCAGCCGGTTGTCCGCTGGAAGAGGCACTAATCGCTGGCGACGAGGGCTAGGTCACAAGAGAGAAAAGGGGATTTTTCACTGAGGAGAGAGAGAAAAGGGGATCTAAAGAGGTTGTTGGAAAAATATTTTTATAGTAAGTTTGACTAAAAAAATTAATGGTTTGACTTACTATTAGTGGAAATTTCGGAAAAAAACACATGTAAATCTTTGAGAATCAAATTTAATTGAGATATTAAAATTGAAGATTTTTATGGCAACAAATTTGTAGATTCTAATACCAAAATTTAATTCATTTTAAGTATTAACCCCATATTAATCTATTTTTATTGGTAACAAATTTGAAGATTCTTATGCCAAAAAACTGAGATTTGTATTGAGATATCCCAACAATTACATATTTTTTTTTGTCATTCAAATTAATGTTGTAAATAAAAAGAAAAATATTCCGATAATAATGGATGCTATACTAAATATTGATAAACTCCAATCCTCCATAATTTATTTATATTTATGAATTTTGTGTGTAAATAACTAAATATATTGATTTGCTTTTCGTAAATCTACTACTATATAATAAAGAGAAGGATTTACTTGACATAGTATTGAAATTTCCGCTTAAAATTTTTAAAGTTACTATTTTGAATATCGATAATTTGCATACGAGTTTTGAAATATTATGCTGAACCTACTGGATTTGATTTTGTAAAGAAATTATTAATCTATATTTATTTTTTCTGCATTATGCGATAACCTGTAACAAAAAATTTGAAATCAAGTAAATATTTTTACGTCATAAACTTATTATTACATAATAAATTTTTACGTGTGTAATATCATTATTTATTTAATATGCTTAATATTTATTTATGGGATGTGCATATTAAATGTTTGATGTATATGATAATTAATTTATTGCTATTGGTAGCATATATAATTAATTAAGGTAAATTTTTTTTGATAATTTTTGTTTTAAATTTTAAATTGAAATTCATAAATGAATGATTTTTTTTTAAAAAAAAAAAATCCCGCCTATACAATCGATGAAACAAAATTTTCCAAAAAAATCACACAGTGTCCATATCTATTTAACTTCAACAACTTATTACAGTTTCGAAAGAATCCAAATTACACTATGGAAAGAATCTAAATTTTTAAGGACTGTATAAATTATTCTTTAGATAAAATTTTGAAAATCCCGACTCAAATTGATTTTTTCAAAAAAGATCACTCGAAAACACCACATTTTTATAATTTAGTTTTTTTTTCTATTATTTTTTGTACATTAACAATTCTAAATTGTAATTTATTTAAAAAACAAAATACACAATATCTTGAGGATATCTGTTATCGAAAATTTCAAAACTCTAATTAGAAAATTTCTGTCCTAAAATTCACCGATAATACTATCTAATTACTCATATTTTTTTAGGATTAATACATATTATTTTTGAAAAATTCATACTGCACAATCTTGTGAAATTTTGTTAACTTTTCCATACCTTCTTACAGTTTGGAAAGCATCAAAATTATATGGACAATTTAAATTATTTTGTCACATAAAGATTTGGAAAATTTTGACTACACAATCGTGTGAAAATTAGTTAACGTTTTAGAAAATAGACGCAATTGGATGTCGAAATTTATCTAACTATAATAATTATTTTCATTATTTTTGTTACATTAACAATCGTAAATGTTTAACTGATTTAAAATAAATCAAAGACAATAGATTGAGATAATATCTTCTGTCAAAAACTTTACCGATAGTACTGCCTAATTACTAATTATATTTTTCCGCTTATCATATTTAATAATGTCATAAAATCACACACACCTGAGATAGGACAAATTCTAAAAATGAATAGAATGCATATATGGCACAATATTTATTTTAGATTTGTTTAAATATTTTTAAATTAATTACATAACTAAATAATATTAATATGTATTAAATATTTATCATTATATAGACATATATATTTATATATATAAAGAATACTACTTTTATAAGTATTATAAATAATAATAATAATAA